AGTTTGGATGAATTCTGCCTTGAGTACAGAGAAACCCATTTGTGGGATTGTCTTTGCTCAGGGACCAGGTTACACATGGTAGATAATGCAAAAATATGGAACAACACGAGACGTACCTCAGGGAAATCTGACTGTTGGGTGAGAACTAGGAGTAAATATCACAGTCTGCTGAATGTCACTGTCATTGTATATAGCTGTATACTGTGTATATAAATTACGTATTGAGTTAGAATATAGATTAGCTTTGGTAGTAAGCTGACGATATGGGGATAAGGGGTGAAATGTCCAGAGGTGATTTTATGATGCTTGTATCGCTATTAGTCTGTTTAGCCCAGAAATAAATTCTGCACCATTAACACTGGTTCCAAGAGCAAAGCGGGGGAGAGAAGAAGCACAGAGTTTGTTGTCAGAAATTGCTCTTCCTCCCCTACATCCTTCTCCTGGACTGTGTTTTCTGCAGCACGGACAGAGCTTTCCTTTGCTTTTAGTCAGTTTTTAGCTTGCTGAGGCAAATTCACCCGACTGTGGTTTTTCTTTTTCCTGGAACTGTTTAAACCTGCTCTGGACTGAACACCCAGAAGAGCACCAGCAGCTCACACCTGTGGCCTGCCAGGGCCTGGGCCACAGCATTTCCATCACCAGAGGAATGATAGGAGACTGAGTGAGCCAAGCTACAGCCCACAAAGGGGTCTTTCTGAGTTTGTCATCACTTCAGAGTGGCAAGAGGTTTTATTGTTTAATATTGCTCATTTTTTGTGCTGGTGAATGCTTTGCCTGTTAAATAAGCAGGGTTTTTTCTACTCTCCTCCAAGGAAATACTTTCATAAACCAGTTGGGGGAGGGGCCGCTTGAATCTGCTTTCTAGAGGAACCCCTTTGGCGGTTTTCTCCCAAATTTGCCCTAAACCGGGACAACAGGGCACCCCAAAAAGGCCACCATATGACAGAGCATTGTCCAAACACTTCTTGAACCCCGGCTTGGTGCTGTGACCACTGCCCTGAAAAGTCTTATATGTTCAACCTCCCTCTGGGTGGAAAACCTTTTCCTGGTATCCAAGCTAAACCTCCCCTGACTCAGCTCCATGCCGCTTCCTCAGGCTCTCTCATTGGTCATGAGAGTGTACAGACTGGTACCTGCCTCTCATGAGGAGGCTGAAGACTGCATTGAGGTCTCCCCTCAGTCTCCTCCAGGCTGAACAAACAGAGTGCCCTCAGCAGCTCCTCATACACCTTCCCCTCTAGATCCTTCCCCATCCTTGTGGCCCTTCTCTGGACACTCCTCTACTAGCTCAATGTCTTTTTTATACTGTGGTGCCCAAAACTGCCCCCAGAACTCAAGGTGAGGCTGCTCCAGTGCAGAGCAGAGACACAATCCCCTCCCTCACCCAGCTGGCCTGATGCCCCTAAGGACACAGTTGGCCCTCCTGGCTCCAGGGCACTGCTGACTCAGATCCAACCTGCCATCAGCCAGAACCCCCAGGTCCCTTCCTGCACCACCGCTCTCTAGCCTCTAATTAATTAAAGGCAGTTACATACAGTAAACATGTTATGATTTTGAACTGTATACTCAGCAATTTCATAAAGCCAAGTAAGTTGCAGATACCTCCTGAAAGGAAAATGCTAACACATCCATCAAATTTTAGCCCTGAGAAAAATCTGTATCACCTTTCAGCCACTGAGAAGATTAAGTAATTCATTCCCCACACAAGGGAAGTCTGTTGTCTTAAAAATGCAGCTTCAGCAGTAAGTTATAGACAAGCAAATTACTAGTTATGTTTTAGCCACAAGTTAATGAGAAAAGCATTCCAGTTCCCATAAATATATAGGACCAACAGGAAGGTGCTAGTTCTCTTTGGTATTCTAGCTGGATTGTCTTAAAACTGACACTTCACACATGTGGCAGTGAAGTACCAAAGACTCCAAAGAAAGTTTCTAAGAACATTCAGTAACTACTTAATACAATAGTACCAATAACAATTGTGCTTACCAGACTAAACCTCTGCTTTTCAATTATCACCCTCACAATGACAGTCCCCAAAACCTTTATTACCATGTCACTAAATCTTTGCAGCAAAGTCAATCAAACTTCACACAGCTACAGAGAAGCTACTCTCTCCTCCTCTTCATTAGCTCCCCATTTATCAACTCATCTCCCACCATGACAGGCAATGCCAAGACCAGGATCTGCTCCTAGGAAACTTCACAGTATAAACTTCTTCAGAAAGTGTCACTAGGACTATGTCATCTTTCAGCCCCCTTCTGTGCAGTAGAGGACCCCCTTAAACAATAACCTTGTCTTGTCAAGATACAGTTGGTCATCACTTCAATATAAAGAGGCAGGGGAGCAGTTTCATCAACTCACTAGAAACAAAGCAAAGATAAGTGGATGAAAACTATTTGAGGAACAATAAGAATGACAAAAAATGAAGTAATTATTAGAGAGAATGCTTGTAGCTTTGAAAAAACACATCAGAAAGATCATCCATTAAAATAGTTCAAAGTTACAAAGGACATTGGTAGAATGATTACTTGGAGGCAGTACTGACAGTTCAGCAGTGATTTAAGACATTCAATAGTTTAAGAGAGATATCAGAACCTAGAAGGTAAAGGTACCTAATATACTGTTGGAATTAGAAGCATCAATCAATTAATTTAAAGATGGGTGTCATGGTAAAAGTTACAGGTTAGAAGAGCTTTATATTAGTAAGATGAGAGGACATAAGCCACACAAATCTCAGCACTTTTCAAGGCCAGGAAAAGGTTTGTTGCAGTAATCAAACAGGTAAAAATCTTGAGTTTCACTTGCATGAACAGACAGTAAAAGCTGTCTGTCCACTGGACTATTTAAACACACCAAACAAAAACAGTCTGCAAGAATGACTGAAACCTCATTCTAGGTACTTGTGTCGACTATGTGTCAAAGAATAATTAGTTCACACCTAAGAACAAAGTATGACTGAGACAGCACTGTTGTACAGATAATCAAGATTCAGGAACATTAAGAACTTCGCTGTAATCACACTTTTTTGTGAACATGAACATTATCAGTACCAAAATACTTACTACATACATTTAGATTAAAATACCTGAGCACAAGAAAGTAAAGCATTCACCTAAACAATGGAAAAATAAAACTAACTGATGTGTTGAAGAATGAGGATAAAACAGTCACCTGAGAAGATCCTTGCCATGACAGAGACTGCAAATAAGCCAAGTAGAAAGACTACAGAATTCTCCGAGTTTCAGCAGAAAGATGCGAATTCCAGGAAGTGCATGTACTTCCACTGTTATGCAAAGAACACACACCTCAAAAATGGCACTGAAAGGAACAAAACTAGCAACAGTCAATGATATTAGAATGAGGAGACAACAGTTCCAAAGTAAGCTTATCTTACTTCATCTGAGGAAAGACTGTATCACATTCTTATTGCAAGAAGAAATTGAATGACAATTGAATGACAGCAACAGATGACAACTCTGAAAAGACAGGCGAGTATAAACTAAAGAGGTTTACAGGTGAGACAAGTCTCTGGAGGCAGGAAAGGAGCACAAGGATGGGATCAAACTCCCCCTTGCCATCCTAGACAGTCTACAAGACCCTGCAGGAAAAGAGAAGTAGAGATAGAAACAGACGGCAAGTCATCATCAAAAGATGTAATAAATATTGGTAAACTGTTGAGCTTAATGTTCCCCAGCAGAAAGGGGAGGTAAAGTGAGGGAATTGCATGACTTAAGATAGCTACTGCCAAGCTTCTCATTTTAAGAGAACAAAAGAACCCATTAAAATTTATTATAAGGTCATTATAATGGCAGTATACAAATTAAGTACTGATGTTAAGTTTCTCACAAATAGTCATTACAGATTTGGCTACTACTATTCTTGAGACCACTTATCATGCCTCCTCAGGCACTGACAACTCACCTTGAGTTTGGAAGCCAACAGGCCAAGCCATGCCACATCACAGGATTTGTTAACTTGAGTGTAATTGTATTTTTAGCTGTTTGTATGCTTCATCTTCAAAGGCTGCACCTACAACATTTATTTGCTTCCTGTTGTTTAACACTAATATCAGAACAATAATTAACACTGAGTTCCAAAGTAAGAAACAGTCCTGAAAGAAGGGGCCTCGCATACATTTTCATTCACCTCCTGCTGGGCATTTCTTTTCCAGTTCCATTAGCTGAGAGGAATGATGAGACACAACAGGGACAGCTGGGCAAACTGGCTTTTGCCAAAACACTGAGAGACATATGTCATTCCTAAAGGCAAAATATAGATACCCACTGCCACTTAAAACACCACTCTACGCACCTTGGGGCAGTATACCCAAATACTGCAGTATTGCAGCCCAGGTTCTTCTATTGCTCTTCAGAAAAAATGGAAGCCACTTTACTAGCCCACCTCTGATGTTTTCAGCTCCAAAAAATACAATGCATCTACTATGACACCCTGCCTTGTTTTACATAGGCCTTCAATCAATCCTTGAACTAAACAAAGTACTAACATGAGTGCAACCAAAGGAAAAATTTACAGTAATACCAAAGCAGTGGACAATAACTTTAAAAGGCAAGTGGACAAGGCGGGGCACAAAGCGGCTCAGAGCCGGGGCCAAGACACAGCGCTCGCTACCGCGCTCCAGGGGCCATGTCCAACGCCGGGCCCACTGTCCGCCTCCAGGGAGCACCGGCCCCAGGCCACCGGCCTCGGGAATCGCCGCATCGCGAACCCAGAGCCACCAACCCGCGGGAGGCACCTAAGGACGAAGGCCCCAGCCTGGCTTCGTCCGCCCGCGCCTCGCGGACAGCGCGGTGGCCCGACCAAGGCGCTCCCTTTGTCCGGCCGCTCGCCCCACTAGGACCAGGACGGCCGCGGGGAGGTGGCGCTCCCGAACTGGCCCCTGAACGTGGATCGCAGGGCCAGGCCGAGCCAGACTAGACCAGGCTCACGGCGGCGCAGAGCCGCTGTGGGCCAGAGTAGCAACGCCTGCAACTCCCGCCTACCTTCGTTCGCCAGGTCCGCCATTTTACTTCCTCAGCCGCGCCCACAATGCATCGCGCGGCCGGACGACACCGCTCACCGCGGGCCCCGCGCGGCGCGCACGCTCCGATTTACGGCCGCTACGGGAGGGCGCTGCGCGTGCGCGGAGCCGTCCCTATCTGAGGCGGGGGTGCTGCCCGGTGCCCTGTTGGTTCTCAGTCGGTTCCCAGTCGGTTCTGCAGCTCCGGGCAGCCGGTCTGGGCAGCGTCCCCGCGGGCCGACTCGTTATGGGGCCCCCGTTGGCCCGATCGCTCCCTGCTGCCCGCGCACCGTATGTACCGCGGCGGTCGGATAGTGGCCAGTTGCTCGCTCGTCTCCGTCCCGTGCGCGGCCTTGCCGTCTGCACTTCCCGCAGCTGCGGAGCCCAGGCGGGCAGGCCATGAGCTGCTCCTGGTGCCACGTCCTGCGCTCAACAGCAGCTGGCACAGGGCGTAGGAATTGAGCAATTAATGATTTTCATCTTACCCCTAGTGATTGCTTCTAGGTTCATTTAACAGCAGCATGCACAGTGCCCTTCATTTGACTACATCCCTCACAAGCTATCACACTAGCGTAAGGCAGAATCCAAGGGCCAGGCTCCTGATTCCTTTTGTAAGTACCATGAAATGAAACCATCTGGTTTACCTGCTAGGAGAATTGCCCATCAGGAATATAACAGCAAAATGGACAAAACTTCTTACAAATAAATGAATGGCACGAAATAAAAACAAAACAAACAAACAAAAAAACCCCACCAGAGTAATCACAGAAGGATTTGGCTTCCAAGGAACCTTAAAGTCCATCTCATTCCCCTCATTTCCATAGACAGAGACACCTTTCTCTAGACCAGGTAGCTCCACACCACATCCAACCTGACCTTGAACACCCAGGGATGGGTCAACCACATCTCTGGGCAGGCTGTGCCAGGGCTTCTCTGGTCTACCAGCCAAGAATTTCTTGGCAATATCCCACCTAACCCTGCCCTCTTGCAAAAGGAAGCCATTCCCCGTTGTCCTGTCATTCTAGATTTCTGTCCAAAGTCTCTCCAGCTTTCTTGAAGCCACTGAAGTTACTGGACCAGGCTCTAAGTTCTCTCCTCAGCCTTCTCTTTTTCAGGCTAAATACCCCCAGCTCTCCCTGCCTGTTCCCAGAGCAGAGGGCTCCAGCCCTTGGAGCATCTCTGTGGCCTCCTCTGGACTTGCTTCAGCAGCTCCACATCCTCCTGTTGTTGTTCCCCAGGGCTGGAAGCAGCTCTGCAGGTGGGGTCTCACCTGAGTTGGGGTAGAGGGCAGAATCCCCTCCTGCCCATGCTGGGCAATGAGGCCAGCACAGGGTGGGTTTCTGTGTGCCAATGCCTGTGGCTGGGGCATGTTGAGCTTTTTATCCACCTGCACCCACAAGTCCTTCTCCCCAGGCCTTTTCTCAATCCTTTCTCCCCTCAGCCTGTGTTTGTTCTTGGGATTGCCCTGACACGTGCAGGAGTTGTACTTGGCCTTGTAGAAGTTCCTAAGTTCCACCTCTCCAGCCTGTCCAGGTCTTTCTGCATGCTATCCCTTCCCTCCAGCATGTTGATCACACCACACAGGATACCTATTTTTAAATACAAAATACCTGTCTGTAAGTAAATGTCCATCTTCAGCATATTATGGAATATTTCCATCAATCAGGCAATACTCTTTGGAGTTTTATGATTGCTAGTGCAAGCTGCATTACCAGTTGAATTTGCAAGACAGTGGGCACAAGAAATCCACATGTTTTCTAAAGTGTCTTAGGGACAAATTCTTGCCACACTTGCTAGACAGGCCATCTCTTTCAACTGGACACCCAGCTGTATCTGGTACTCATGACCAAGAGAGGAACATCTGGGGACATGTCATGTTCATTGTAACAACCATGAAATTGTGGCATTCAAGGTTCTGAGAGGAGTGACAAAGACAAATGGCAGACTGAAGCCCCTTCAAGAGAATGACTTTGGGTTATTCAAGTGAAGTGAGATTCTGTGAGAGTTAGCTCTGAAGGGCAAAGGAGCTCAAAAGAGCTGGCAGTTTGTTAAGGACTTCCTCCAAGCATGAGAACAGTCTGCCCCAGCAATCAGAGGAGTAAGTAAATGTGTTGGGAGACAAACTTGGTAAACATAGAACTAGTGAATGAATACAAAAAAACTATACATGGGATGGAAACAAGGACAGACTACTGAAGCAGAATATAGGAATACTTCCTCAGCATGCAGAGATGGTGTTAGGAAATCCAAAGGTCAACTAGAGTTGACACTGCCAAGGGACTTCAAAAGCTTTCCTAGTCTTACTTTCCACCAAGGAAATCCTTTCTTTCCACCAAGTCAGTTTCACCAAGCTCAGGTCTCTGAGCTCTGAGACAGGATTCAGAGACAAGATCAAGTAAAAGACCTCTTGAGAACTCTGAGCCCAGCTGAATTCATGGGATCCAGTGGGCTGTGTGGGAGGGGGCTGAAAGCTGGCTGATGTTTTTGACACTCCATCAGCTTTAAAAGGTCCTGGAGATCAGTGAAGACCACGTCTGCATTCCAGGGGCACTTAAGCAGCAGGAGGCTCTGTTTAAACTCTCACTCTCCAGCTACCAAGGCAGAAGGAAAATACCATTAAGAGTCTTGCTTTTCACCTGAGATGGGTCCTGTCATGCTTCCCTGGCTTAAATAAACTTACCACTAGTCAACAAGCTACATGGTCCGGAAGAAGTCATCCCTGTTTTCCCTGAGGGTAGAGCTCCAGTCATGGAATCCACAGTTATCTGGGGCTGCAGCATTTTTCATTTGATCCCAGATGACTTAAAGCTGATTTTAGCATATCCTCTGATCATGACCTGAGACTTTGAATAGCTTTGCAAGATTTTTTTATTTTATGCATATCCACTGGGAGCTTACAGGGCTGGACATTAGTGCTGGCAGCTGCATGATGTCTGCATGCAGCCTGAGTCTGTGTGTGGTTCTAGACCTTGTCTGTGCCTTTTCCCTGGAACATTTGGTGCAGACAATTTGCAAAGAATTTAACCAAAAGAATTAGCCTGCTTTTATTGACACAAGAACTGTAATTTTCAGGGATATGCAGCATGGCTGACTTAGCTCCAGTCTTTATGGAATTAAGTTTCTTTCTCAAAGCAGACATGTCCTACAAACTGAGCCAAACACTGGTTTTGAAAAGTGAGAGTCAGAGTAAGTACTTATTATGTGTCTAAAATAACAACAATTACTTAAGTACTTATTCTGATACAGAGATCCGATACAGAAAATTTCATTTTAGAACATTAAGACCTATTAAACCTATAAGAAACTGTGAACATGCTATTATAATGAAAATGTTGGGCAACTTTAATTATAGGAATTGCTGTCCTGTGCTTCTCTAATGAATGTGTGGTACCAGCATAGTGAGTGATGTGACCTATTTAAGGGGAGTGTTTTAGAAATAATGTACCTCAGAAAGTTGCATACACTGAAGAATCAGCAGGTCACAGTGTGTTCTCTATACATGTTCTAATTAGAGCCCATACTTCTCAGAATCATTAACATAAGAGAGGAAAATTAACAGTTTTATCCTAACAGTGTTGGGAGGTTTCTGATTATGATTTAATTTACCTTCAAGTAAATCTGTAGTAATACCAGGATAGATGTGATTCTAGCAATTTATTATTTCAATAAAAAGTAAACTCCACCTATACCAACTTCACAGTTCTTGTGACTTTTAGAAATTAATTACAAGAGTTATCTGTACCCTATGAGCTTGTCAACTTGCTGATATAACTAGAATCTATTTTGGGTGCATGCCATTAAGATACTATAAATGCCATACTTTCTGATTAGTACTATTGTTAGGTCAGTATTTCTAAGGGGACATGGCCTAAAAGTCACTATGACTTTGACAAATTAAATATTTTTCCATAGCTGAGCTCTCAAAAAAAAAAAAAAAAAAAAAAAAAAAAAAAAAAAACCCAAAAAATTCCACCAAAAAAAAAAACCCACACAAAAAACCAAACAAATAAAAGAAAAAAAATGAACAAACAAACAAACAAAAAAAAACCACAAAAGCAAAAAGCCACTATCTCACAAAGAAAACTCCAGCCAAAACCAACCCACTTTGAAGACTTTCTGCTTCTGAGAGCATCATTTGGATGGACTCAGACTCTGGAGCATTCACAGTTGTTCCATAGCGTGACAGTGGCATTTTGATCCATTGTCATAAGCATTCATCTGCAAAAAAAGAAACAGATGCTCTAGAGTGAAGACAGCACCACAGGTAATCGCTGTCTCATTTCTATCTTTATTGCTCTATCAGTGTCCTGGACAAGATGGCAGATTCTAGATGCTCACACCATGTAGGTCAGTTAATATACTATCTTGTCTGCTTCTGGTAGCAGACCTGGATCAAGCAGAAAGTTGTACCTGAGGACTCCAGAGGTCCATTCTATCAACATCTCTATGATTTTCAGCAGTACAGTTATTCTCATTAATTGGGAAATATATCCAGGACTCTGTGTAAGTTAGGTTCTGCTGAAGTTGATTCAGTTGAAACCTATTTTTTAACTTGTTTCTGAACAGATGAAGTTATTTCTCAGATAACTCATTCTTTCCAGCATGGGGGAGCTGGCAAGGACAAGCAACCTCAAGAGGAATAGGGCTTCCTTTTTGAACAGCAGCATGGATTTATGTCACACTCAACTAACCAAATGTCACATGCTTTCCCAGTTGCCAGACCATTTCTGTGGGTCTTACAGATCTACTTCTGCGTATTTTATTAAGGTCCTACTCTCCCTTGTGGCAGCTCACACCTCCTGTGACATCATGACCCTGAGCCAGAAACTTCTATATTAATGCCACTGGGTGACTGAGCAGTGGCCAAGCCATGTATTTTCAAACACTTTTTTGATGGAAATTGCAAGAATAAAGAAAAATACATCTGTTAACCTGTTTTCAGGCAACATGCAATGTGAAGCCAGTGGTTCATCCCTGAAAACTAATAGTTGCATGTAATCCTAACCCAAAATTAATCGGGGTGGGGTCGCCACGCACCCCATGTCTGAGGGTCTTTAACAACATGACAGTGATG